ATAATTTAAAATTATATCTCAAAATTAAAAATAATTATTATTTTAAAGGACTATAATGAATATTTTAAAAAATAAAAGATCAAAATAAATATAATAAATAAAATAAAAGATAAAAAATATAATTTAGTCAAAATGATTAATTTCTTCCCATAAAATAAGAAATGAATTGTTTTTTCTTCTCTTCCCTATTATTTGTTTGGGCTGTCTAGTCTAGGTAGCACACCAGGAGAGGATCATTTTGGTTTCTTTCCCGCTGCCCTTCAAATCGCCGGATTTGTGCATCACCGGCCATGATGGAGTGGCCGGCGGCAGTGTGGACGTTTAGAACATTGGTCTTGCCAGCGTTAAATGTTTCTTCTGTTGTGGTACGCCATATCAAGGTACCGTCATGTCACCATTAACCAAACAAAGACGAGGCACCAAATTAAATTAATAACCAATTAAATCTTAATTAAAGGTATGTTTAATACTATAAAAAATATCACATGTCAATAGAAAAGCCCCGCAATAAAAATGCTAAAAATAATAATAAAAGAATTATTAAATTATGACAAATAGCAAAGTACAGAACCTTTTTTCTCCGAATTCACAATACATGCATTCCTTCTAACTAAAAGAAGATACGGTAATACAAATGTATAACTTATTGTTTTCAATCTATCAAATTTCACTGAACAAAGAAATTCTAGAATGAATATTCTTCAACATTGGGGCATGTCTGACGGCGGTGGTGGTAACGTTTCATTTGAATGCTTTCCATTCTTCACAATAAACACTGTCTCCATGCCCCAAGCTTGGTGCCGTTCTAGATGGCAGTGCATAAACCATACTCCTGTTATTGAAAAAGCACATACAGTTCATGCAACAAAAATAATCTCTCGACTAATTATAACATGAAAAATGGAAATTAAGAATTAAACTAACATAATAAGCTATGCTACGTACCAGGGTTGGTAGCCACGAACCTAATGGCAGCCCAGCCATTTATAGGCACAATCACTGTATTCAAGAAAGGAGGATCAACGAGATTGAAATTCATGGGGTCCTTGCTTCGGTTGAAATTCCCTAACCCATATCCAACAACATGGAAACTGAACCCATGCAGATGCATCGGATGGTCTATCCCCGCAACAACGTTTGTCCCTTGGAAAACTATTTCAACCGTTGCACCATAGTTCAACACATTAACCTTAGTCCCTTCCTTTGGTATGTTCAATGTTAGAGGCAAAAAGTCTCCGGTGAAGTTAAATAGAAACGGTGGAAATCTCGGAAATCCCGCTTCGAATACCCCATTGATGTGGTTATAATAGGCTTTTAGTATGTCAATGTTGGGGGTTTGGAAACTTATGTTGTTCAAGCTAGCAGCGAAAATGGTTCCATTTGGTCCCAAGCAGGTTCTGCCATTGGGGCATGGCAAAGTGTTAACAGAAATAGTTGTCACTATTTGAGTTGTGATGTTTATTGGGACTGGACGAGGGTATCTCTCATGTAAGCCTCTCAAGCTTGAAATGAAGTCAAAAGCTGCTTGTGTGTCATTGAAATTGGGAAGGGAAGGTAATGAAGGGGATGAAGGTGGAGTGTAATTGCCACTGTACTCAACTCTAGCAGTGGTTATGGTGTTGTCAAAGGCAACACCAACCCCAGTTGAATATGCGCTTGCAGCAAGATAATAATGATTAGGTTCTTGGTTGGCATGCAACAATACATCCATTGTTTGTCCCGGTGAAATGCAAATGAAATCCCTTGTCAATGGCTTCGTGTAAATTCCATCAGCACCAACAACAGTGAGATTATGTTGGGAAACCGCGAAAAATAGAATGAGATTCATGGCCGCGTTAACAACTCGGAGATGATAAGTCTTGCCTTGCTCTACATTTAACTTGAACGTTTCTGAACGAATGTTTGATAAAACGAATTAGTTGACACCATGAATAATATTATAAACCATTCTTATTCATCATTGGCAAATGGTTAGTTTTGACAAATAAGAACCAATTTGAACCCAACACCCATCAAATTAAGAAATCATATATAGTATGGTTATATGAATTATTGTGTTGGGAAATTTTGATGCCTACCTGGCATTGAGCAAGGGAACAGATCTCCGGGTTGACCGTTTATAGTAAGAGCATCAGATGTGTTTGGAGCTCCTCCGGTTTCCATAAATTGTGTGAAGACCTCGTTGACATCACTCGTCCACCATTCTCCTACATATGAATGAATAGATAAAATGTTACATTTTTTACCCATGTGGTCGTATAATTCTATCAAATTCTGCTGTAGTAATTTGATTAAAAGTTCAACATTGAATTTAGACGAGAAATTTAAATAAAGTAATTTATTTTTTTTTAAAGAATTTTAAATATTTTTAAGTGAAATATTTTGTTTGAATAATTTTTTTTAAAGAATTTGAAATCTAAAAAGTTGTAAAATTCTTTAAAATAATAAAATTTTAAATTCTCTAAAAAAATAAATATTTTAAATTCTTCATAATTTTTTGTTTCTTATTTCAACTATATATATTTTATTTCTCTTTATTTTTCTTATCTCTTATGTTTCCTTTTATATTTCTCTCTTCCATCACTCATACTCTATTTTTTCTCTGCCATCTATGCTCTCACTTTCCTTTTATTTTTCTCTCCCAATTTATTTTCTTAATTATTGAATATTTAAAACTATTTTTTAATTATTAAAAATTATATAATATTAATTTTTAAAATTAATAATATTTAAAAATTAGGTAATATTTATTTTTATAAAACTTAATCTTAAAATCTCTCTTTATACATATAATCAATTTTAATCATGATAGAAATCAAATTATCATATTTAAACTAAAAATTTAAAATTTAAGAAATTTAAATTGACTTATCCATGTAAAATATTTTAAAAAATGACGAAAATTGAAATTAAAACAATTTAAATTCTAAAAATTTTAAAATTTTTCATCCAAATATGGTAGAACAAGTGTAAAATAAAGATAGTAATTTTGATACCAAATATGATGGGAATCTCTGCATGCGGTTTTGGAAAAGGGATGGGAGTATTGTTGGTTGGATAGACATAAATAGCGCCATAGACAGTGGCTCTTGCCCAGTCACTGTGAGCATGCCACCATATGGTTCCTTCTTCTGTAGAAAAAACCAACTTTTGTCTGAATCTCACTCCAGGTTGGATGGGGCACTGAGTGATGTATGCAGGACCATCTGTCCATGGATTCCTTATTTGCTTCACTCCATGCCTGTACATAATTCAGTTAGCCATTTCATTAATTTTAATTCATTATATATACATGTTGTATTTTCCATAGCTCAACAGAATCGGTGAGATTGAAAACTCAATACCAGTGTAAAGTAATATTGTAGTTGCCCTTGTTGTAAACATCAACAAAGATTGTGTCTCCTCTGTGGACTCTGATAGCTGGTCCTGGAAATTTTCCATTTACAGTCAATATATTTTTTGTGGAACAAAGTCTTGTATACTGTGTTTCTCTCACCTGCAAAATTAATCCAACTGATTTAATTTCCCGTGCTTCAGCAACTTACTAATTATTTATTAAAACTTATTTATAAATATATATGTGTATTTTTTATGTATAAAGTTTTCTTATGATAATTTTATAAAAATATTAAAGAAATAACATAATAAAAGCAAACCGTTCAAAATAAGAGTTTAATTAATAGACATGTAATTCACACCAATTTTTGAGAAATTATTTTTAACAATTTTTAAAATAAATTCCAATTAATTAACATCCGATTTATATGATGACATGAAGGTGTAAAAAAGTTTTGAACATTAATATCTTATGCAGATTAACAAAATAATTAAAGAACCTGATGAAAGAAATAAAAAAGATGCGGTAAATGAGGGTTTATTACTATTTTTGTCATGAAATGACTGAAATAGCTATTTATGAAAAATAGAAATGGGTAGAATCTGATCTGATGGGACTCACCACAAAACTGTAATGGCTCCGTGTTTGGGAACTAAGAAGGATCAAGGAAAAACAACACAAAATTTGGAGCAACAGTTTCTTGGCAAACGACATTTTCACGAAAGAAAATGTTATGCAACTCCTACAATATATAATGCTACTGCTAATATAGTGTGTTATATATGAATAACTTTTTTCTGTACGAGGGGTTTTCTATCTTCAAATGAGAGGTTTAAATAGAGAGAGATTTTAAGGTACATTAGTTGCAGTGTTTAAAATATTGGTGTGGCCTCACTCTCATATTTATTAAGTTAAGTCAATAGGTTAATATAGCCAAAGAAAATAATTGTCAAGTTGTGAAAATAAGATTAGAATATAAGATCTTGTGTATATGGTCCTTACATTCTATTAATTCATTTAAGGACAAAAAATTTAACAGGCATTTTAAGAGGGGTTCTTCGCACAATTTGAGGTGAGGGTAGCGTACAAATTAGAAACTGTCGTATATTTAGTGAGCTTATTAGTTGTACCTATTCGAAAACAATGCAAGAACCGCATTACTTAAAAAGTCATAATGAATTGCTAAGCTTTGATGATGTTATATATCCACGGAATAGTTAAGATTGTTTAATCAAAATAAGTTAGCCTTTTTATTATTATTCTTCTTCTTCTTCTTCTTTTTTTAATTCTGGCTTTTCATTATTTTGGTATGCACACGTTTCGGAAATATAACGTTAAACTTGCGTCCATCTAACACCTTCTTACTTGATTAAATTGCTATAAAGAGGACTTATTTAGAAATTCTTTTCATAAATAAATTTTCAAATTCTTTCAGAAAATTAAAAAAATATATATATATATTTTCTTAAAATAAATTTATAAAACACGAAACTTCAAACATAAAAAAAAACTAGCTAATAAATAGTTAATATGAGTAAATTAAATTCAATCTCCTTAATTTCATTAAAGGTGTTCATTCAATCAAGTTTTTTTTAATAAAATCTAATCATTAATTAATAAAATTTATAGATATCGAACATTAATAACCTAATTATTAAAAAAAAATTGTCCCCAAACGTAGTCCATATAGATATTAAACTTGGAATGGCCGGTATGTTTGCTTTATATAAAAAATAGAAATAAAAAAAAATGCATCTGGTAACACAATCAAGGCTGCGTATAGCTTACAATTATCAATTATTTTTATTTAGATTACAAGCATTCGGTATGAAGTCGTATTAGAGTTGAGCAGAGTTATTATAAAAATTTTATTTTTAATATTTAAAACAATTACATGTTTAAAATTTAAATTCGAAATCAGTAATTAAATTCAAAGAACGTATACCACTTGATGGTTGGTTCAAATAACGGCTTTCTCATTTCTGTCTCCATTTTTCCGCCTACGATGAGATGATTAATTTACAACCGAGCGCTAATTTCGGAGACTTTTAAGCAGTATCACGAATTAAGCATTGGACTGCAACTTTTGGGTATAGCTCTTGACCAAGCCCACATAAGAGGAAATAGCCACCCGGCCCGTTTAATAGAGATAAGCACACCACATACGGATGGCAATGGGTCTCATGGAGCGGGTAATAGTAAACTCGCTCTCGTTCTGCTGGATGAAAATTGGTCTCATATCCACCCTATATTCATGTAGGTATCCATGAATTTCTTGAATACCCACGGATATCCATATATCCATGGATATTTATAAATTTTTTAAAAATTTTAAAAATTATATTACAAATAATTTTAAGTTTATATTTAATTTCATTGAAATATTAAAAATAGAATTTTAATGTTAATTTTGAACTTGTATTTAACGTTAATTTTGTTGAAATAATAATAAAAATACAAGATAATCAATAACTTAAAATACATTAATCTCACAAGTAAGTTAAAGTCTCATTACAAAGCTACAATAATTCAATCTCATAATTTCAAACAAAAGTAAACAACTTAAAATGCATAAATCTTATTGGTCCAATAAAAGTTAGAAAATTAATCAAATTGTATCCAACATAATTCTATAACATGCTTAACACATGTAACTTAATCAACCTCACTTTTGTAAAAAAATAAGATGAGAGAGTGTAGTTTTAGGGTTATGTGGTGCAAGGATATATAATTAGGATATTTAAGAAATATTATTAAACGGGTACCCGCAGGTATGGATATTATCATATCCTCCCTCGCCCTATTTCTAAACGGGGAAAAAATTATTCGTCCCCGTTATTCGTGGGTAGCCAATTAGCCTATCATTTATTATCTGTAACGGATTTTACCCGCAGATACTTACGGGTGCGAGTATTTTTGTCATCCCTAACACCGCACATGGATGTTTCATGTTTGAATTAACTTTTCAACAAAAAAATAAAAATGGAAAACTCTACGGTACCCATGTGGTACCGGAACAGTCGAATATTTATTTTTAATTTATTGTAATTACTTATTTTATTTTTATTTTTATTTATTATTTTTAATAATTAATTTTTATAAAAAAATTTATATCTTTAAATTATTTTTAAATTTTTTTTTGTTAATATGCTTTAACTTTTTTAGAGTTATTTTTTTAATTTATAGTATAAATTAGTTTTTCAATTATATTATTTATTATTATTTTTCTTATTTTAATATTTTTATAATATTATTATATTTTTTGTTTTTAATTTTTTAATTCTATCACGTATAAATAAAATTTGTTATGAAAATTAACCTTTTAATTATTTTTTTTGAATTAGTCTTTTTGATTGATTTATCTTCTACAAATTTTTGATCTAAAATTTATGTTATTTTAAATTTATTTTTAAAATTTATTTGTTCACATAATTTGAGGTACCAAAACCCTTCAATTATCATGGGTACCATAGTAGTTCCCAATAAAAATTGTTATTTTCTGTTGCCAAATATGCACTTATAGTGTTTGTGTATCGTTGGTAGGGATGGCAATGGGACGGGTTGGGTACAGGTTTCATGATACCCGTCCCCATCCTCGCGATTCAAATTCATTCTCGTACCCGTACCCACCAGGTATGTAATTTCTGTCCTCATCCCCGTCCCCGTCGAGTATCGGGTATACTCATACTCGTAAAAAAATAATATTTTTTTTTACAAAAAAAATACACAATATTTTTAAATTATTTTTTCATTATATTATAATTATAATTATAATATTTCTCTATCTCATATTTTAATCAAGAGATTTCTTAATAATTAAACAATTATAAATGTTTCACATTATAATAAATAATTACATATAATAAAATATTAAAAAAAATTAACATAATTCAATCGGGGACGGGTACGGGTACGGGTACGGGGCGGGTATGTATATACTCGTACCCGTACCTGTAGCTGGTCAAAGCAGGTATTCCACGTCAAAGTCGGGACATGTTCGAGTATTACTCACGGGTACGGATTTATTTGTCATCCCTAGTCGTTGGGAGAAACGAAAAAATTAGATTGTTAATTTCTTGTTGTCTTAATTGATTAAAATCTGAATAATTATTGTTTGGATAAATTTACAAAGAAATAATTTAAATAATTAATTTTAATTGGATAGAGTATATAATATATAATAAATTACAAATTAAAGTTATTGGGAATTGCTTGAAAGAGAAAAAAAAATGTCATTCAGAAATCTTAGGATAATATTTTTTAGGAAAAAAATTCATTGAAAAATAATCATAAATTTTAATTAATTAATTAATTATTATTTTTAGATAAAACAACTTATTTTGAAGTCAATTCAGTCTATTAATTTTTCCCTCTTAAATTAATGGAAATGAACTCGGCAAGATCAGGTGCATGAGCGAAGTAAGTAAAAGTTCGTTTCGATGTAATGTGCATATATAGTATATTTGTTGCCTCGAAAAAATTCTAATCAGCCATGAAAAGTGAAAACGAATTGCAGAGTTGAAACACTTTAAATTCTAATATACAATCAATTGACATCGTCCACATAAACTAATAAGGCAGTAAAACCAGTGACACGAGTAAGAGTAAATAGTGAATCTTGAATGTTTGTACCCCTACGCCAATGAAAGAGAAGTAAGTTTCTCATACCATTTTCGACTATAATTCGTTGTTATTGAATATTCTAACATACAATCAAATGAAAAGTAACATAATTCATTTTATTCACATATTCAAAAACAAGACGGACAACGATTGAATTCTGAACCTGTGTGTATTAATTTGAACAAGAGACACGGAAAATTATTATAAAAAAAAAAAAAAAAAAAAAAAAAAAAAAAGATAGCACGTAAAAAAAAATTAAAATCTAATGAAAGTCTTCAAAATATATAGAACGTATTATTATGGATGAGTATTGAAATTGAGTTAGATATTTTAAGATATTATAATATTTGACTTTATATACCAAATTAAAATACTGGCAAAAAACTTATATGTATCTCAATTAAGAAAATTTTCAATTCGAACTCAACGAAATTCCGGATCTCTTTCTTAAGTTCTTTCTTAGGAAACTACTAACAAAACAAATCCTGATTCAAAATTAACTCCTTCATTGAATGTTCAAACCTTAGTTGTTTTGTTATAAGAAATTGTCAACGTAATACATCTTCAGCTTTGTTTAGAAGAGAGAAGAATATCAACCAAGTCAACTTCACCTTTAGTTGTTAGAGGACACCTGAGAATTGATTTATCAAATTATCTTATGCAAAACGTAGATATAATGCACATGAGGATATTCATCATTTGATTTTATGACGCGTACATCTCTCCTCCTTACGGTTTCAGTGTGCTAATTTGAATTATCTAACACATTTAATATAATTTTGATCAAGACAAAGACGACTTGGTAGGGTCGCAGACAGCAATAAGCCTCCAATTGAAGAATATTCTCACGTACGCGTAATCTGTCAAAGCCAAGCAATACTATATATATATACATGCATGCATAACGAACTCCTTCATCATTCAAATTCATATATATATCAAACAGAAATTAAAGCTAATTATTAGCAGACCAAGCATTTCAAATTAAGTTCAGATATTTTCCATGAGAAACACAATCCTACAAATATTAGGAATTTTGTTCCTAAATGTTCTCCTTACATGTCAGGCTCTAAGGCATCACAAGTTTGTGGTATGTTTTTCTAGTTTTTAGTTTTAATTAATAGCTTATGAAAACTAGAGTTCATAACTAACATGCTGCATTTTATATCATGTATGTATTAATATAAAGGTATATATATTGAGAGTTAACGTGTTACACTAAGACCAAATTTTATTTAATTAAGTTGATACCTTTAAATATATATATAGTTTGGATTTAAAGTAATTAATTTTGTGTGATCTTAATTAGTTTAAATATTTTTTGTAATTCATTATATTTTTTAATAGTGGTCATAGTTGCATAAAGCAGCTATAGAAAAAATGAAGAAATAGGTATTGAGCAAAACAAAAAAAAATATATTAATATACATGTCAATGTAAAGTTTAAAAAAACTATTACAACAATCATATCCAAAAACTATTATTGTCGTGTCTGTCTTTCACTAGTTAAAAGAAAGACATATATTAATAAACTGATACATTTTCAAATCTAAATATTAATTAACTGCGCAGGTGAGAGATGCTCCTTACACAAAACTTTGCAGCACAAAGAATATCTTGACTGTAAACGGGCAATTTCCTGGTCCAACATTGTATGTTAACAAAGGAGAAACCATCATTGTTGATGTGTATAACCGAGCTAACTACGACATCACCATCCACTGGTATATAATTTTACATTATATATGTATTTTGCTGCTACATATGTACCTTTGATATATACATGAATTATTACTTTGAACTTAACTAGAGTTAATAATTAATTTTTAGGCATGGGGTGAACCAACCAAGATATCCATGGTCTGATGGCCCTGAATATATCACACAATGTCCTATTCGACCAGGTGGAAAGTTCAGTCAAAAGGTGATATTTTCTGAAGAGGAAGGCACATTGTGGTGGCATGCTCACAGTGACTGGTCTCGAGCCACCGTTCACGGGGCTATTGTCGTCAGACCCAAGCCTGGAACTACTTATCCATTTCCAAGACCACACAAAGAAGTCCCAATTATATTAGGTATACATACATGTATATATAGTACAAAAAAAAAATTAATTAATTACAATGGGCAGATTTGTAGTAATTAATTAAGTTCAATCATTATAATATATTGGCGGTGGCTATAAGCTATATATATTGATATATATTCTTTTAATTGAAAATTAATCATTTATAGGTGAATGGTGGAAGAAAGATGTCGTTGAGGTTTACAATGATCTTCGTAGAACTGGAGGAGATGCAGCTATTTCTGATGCTTATACAATTAATGGCCAACCCGGTGATCGTCATCCATGCTCAAAGAATGGTATGCATGCATGCTTGATTTCGACATCATTCGTGTACATGTGTGACTGCGTCTGCATGTGACTAATTCATAGATAACATATAATTATGTTTATTTTTTAATTAATGCAGAAACGTTCAAGCTTAGGGTTGATTATGGGAAAACGTATCTGTTGAGAATGGTGAATGCGGCAGTTCAAGACATTCTGTTCTTTGCCATTGCGAAACATAAACTGACAGTGGTGGGAACAGATGGTAGCTACGTAAAGCCAGTGAAAGTAGATTACATAACAATATCTCCTGGACAAACAATGGATGTGTTATTAGAAGCAAACCAAGCATTGGACCGTTATTACATGGCTGCTAGAGTTTATTCAAGTGCTGCCAACGTTCCATTTGATGAAACCACAGCCACTGCTATTGTAGAATACAAGGGAAAGCACATTCCTTCTTCAGCTACCCCTTTATTGCCTTTGCTTCCAGGTTTCGATGACACCAATGCTTCAGTCAACCTCTTGAGTCAACTAAGAAGCTTGGCTGATGATGAACATCCAATTGATGTGCCCTTAGACATAAGCACCAACCTATTCTTCACAACCTCGGTTAACACATTACCATGTGCAAATGGTTCAACATGTGGGGGCCCCAATGGAAACCGTCTCTCAGCTAGCATGAACAACATAAGCTTTGAGTTGCCATCTAGCAATAACATTCTAAGGGCTTACTACAACAACATTAGTGGTGTTTATGGTGAAAGTTTCCCAGATGTGCCACCCTTGCTATTTGATTTCACTGCCAACAATCTCCCTCCTTTTCTAAACACTCCATCAGTGGCTACGGAGGTGAATGTGCTTGAATATAACTCAACGGTGGAGATTGTTCTTCAAGGGACTAACTTGTTGGCTGGTACAGAGCATCCTATTCATCTTCATGGCTACAGCTTCTATGTTGTGGGATGGGGATTTGGCAACTTTAATAAGGACAAAGATCCTCTCTCCTATAATCTTGTTGACCCTCCTTATCAGAATACTGTCGCTATCCCTAAGAATGGTTGGACAGCCATAAGATTCAGGGCCAAAAATCCAGGTGTGTTTTAACTCACTTAATTAGTTGCATATATATTTCATAAACTATATATTACTGATTCATTTCATCCATCACTTCTTCATACTTATTATTGAAACTATTTTTTTTTCCTTCTAATTTCTTCTTCAGGTGTATGGTTCATGCACTGCCACCTTGAGCGTCACGTCACTTGGGGCATGGCCATGACTTTCATTGTCAAAAATGGAAAAAACCCTCAAGACCAGATGTTGCCGCCACCTCCACACATGCCAACATGTTAATTAATTTATTCCACTTTTTTAATTCCATTCTTTTGTTCGTTCAATTGTATTATTCTTTACTTTGTCATAAGTTTCACTTTTATGTATTCCTTACTGTTTCAAAATATATAGCCCGTTAGGGATATCTATAGTCGCCGCCCCCTCTTTGTGGACTCACTTCATCCATATATCCACTAACTAACATTATTGTATCATTCAAAATTCAATCGTTGTCCGTCTTGTTTTTGAATATGTCAATAAAATGAATTATGTTACTTTTCATTTGATTGTATGTTAGAATATTCAATAACAACGAATTATAGTCGAAAATGGTATGAGAAACTTACTTCTCTTTTATTGGCGTAGGGGTAAACATTCAAGATTCACTATTTACTCTTACTCGTGTCACTGGTTTTACTGCCTTATTAGTTTATGTGGACCATGTCATACTAGTAGAAAATTCTATGGAATTCGTATTAAGACTATTATTGACTCCAGTTTCAAAATTAAAGATCTAAGCACCTTGAAATACTTCTCCTTGGCATAGAAGTGGCTCACTCATTTTCAGGGATCACACTCTGCCTAAAAAAAGTATTATTCGAACCTATTACATGAGACAGGTCTACTTGGCTCTAAACCAGCAAAATCTACAACTTGATCCGTCAGTCAAATTATAGCAAGATGATGGTAGTCCTTACAGTGATGCAGCAGGCTATGGGAGATAGGTGGGGAAGCTGCTATATCTCACTTCAACTAAATTAGACATAGCATTTGCAACATAGCAGCTCAGCCAGTTTTTGAATATTCATGTGAACTTCAGTGGTTGCTATAACTTCTTCAAGATCTACATGTTTGGATCATTGGAAGAATCTTCCAAACGAGAAGTACGACGGATCTACCGACCCCGATGAACACCTAAACGTCTTCTTGACACATGCAACCCTCTCTACTCAAGACGACTCGGCTTTATGCCGAATATTCCCCACGTCGCTGAAAGGAAGAGCCCTGAGTTGGTTCACGAGATTGCCGAGCTCTTCCATTGACTCGTTCAACGAATTGTCATCTCAATTCACTCTCCAATTTGCGACGAGCAAGCCGTACAAGACGACCTCGTTAGCCTTAGCGGGGGTCCGTCAAGAAAAGAAGGAAAGTCTGAGAGGCTTCATGGACTGATTCAACAAGATTGACATGGAGATCGGCGATCTTAATCCTGCCGTGGCGTTGGACCGGCTGAGCACTACCCTCCGGTCGGGGCCATTCGTGAATAGCTTGTGCAAGAAGCCACCTATTGATATGAACGATCTCCAACACTAAGCTGAAAAGTATATGCAAATGGAAGAGCTGGCGGAAACCCGAAATCAAGCCAGGGCTGTGGAGAGCTACAGCTGAAAGGAATCCGGCTGAGAACCAACGAAAAAGACGAATGTCGAGCCCCCAAACGCTCGCCCACAAGGAGGACCACGCTACACAGCGTACACTCCCCTCAACACGAGTAGAGCCAAGGTAATGGAGCAAGCCCTTGCATCAGAGATCCTAGTGATGCCGAAGAGGGCGAACACACCCCCTAGAGCAGACAAAGCTAAAACATGCCGATTTCACCGAAACAGGGGGCGCTCGACTAAAGAATGCTCGGCACTGAAAGACAAACTCGAGGACCTAATCAAGCAAGGTCACCTCAGGAACTTTGTCACTCCCCAGGGCCACCAATCAAGGGGGAGAGACCATCATCCTCGGGAAACATCACCACCGAGAGACCGACGCCGGCGATCCCGATCAGCCGAATGGAGGGAACATTCACGACATTCCCGAGAAGAAAATGATCGACCAAGGAAATTAATAAACACCATAGCCGGAGGTTTTGCCGGTGGAGGCTCCACTCTTCGGCGCGAAAGAGACACCTCCGAGCTGTCCGATCTGTGAACAATGTGAATCAGCCGAGCATGCCGAGGATGCCGCCAATAACCTTTTTCGACCGAGATTTCCGTGGCGTCGATCCCGTCCAAGACGACCCCATGGTGATTTCAGTCGAAATGCACAACTACATTGTGAAGAAAACTTTGGTCGACCAGGGGAGATCGACCGACATATTGTATTGGAACACTTTTGTGCAGCTGGGAATCCCGGAGGAAAGCCTAGAACCGTATCACGAGCCGCTAGTAGGATTCTCCGGCGAAAGAGTGATGACGAGAGCGTGCATCAACTTGTACACTCGCTTTGGATTCGACCAGAAGTCCTCACGAGAAATCAAAATCCGATACATCGTGGTACATGCGAACACATCATACAACATCCTACTAGGCTGACCCTCCATTAATGCGCTAGGAGCCATTGTCTCGACCCCCCACCTGTGCATGAAGTTTCCGTCGAGAGATGGACAAGTGATAACCGTGCATGCCGACCAAAAAACGGCAAGAGAATGCTATCTCTCTAGCCTAAAAGTACAGCTGCTGGCCGACCCCCCGAAGACAAAAGGTGTGAACGTAGTAAGGCAGCCGACGACGGAGGACATTGACCTCGATCCTCGGTTGGGTGAAGAAGAACGAATCGAGCCAGCTGAGGACCTCATGTCGTTTCAACTTGGCAGAACACCGGAACAAGTCACAAACATGGGATCTCAATTGAGCGAGACCGACTCAAACCAAGTCAAGCGTGTAGTCAGGGACAACCAAGACCTCTTCGCGTGGACGGCATCAGACATGCCAGGAATAGATCCCAAGTTCTTGTGCCACCGACTGGCCGTATGCCGAGATGCACGACTAGTCGCACAAAAGAAAAGAAAAATGGGGGATGAGAAGCGAAAGGCTGCAAATGCCGAGGTGAAAAAATTGTTGCAGGCTAAATTCATAAGGGAAGTCACGTACACGACTTGGCTAGCTAACGTGGTTCTGGTCAAGAAGTCGAACGGAAAGTGGAGAATGTGCACCGACTACACCGACCTCAATAAAGCCTGCCCCAAGGATGCCTACCCACTCCCTTGCATCGACCGACTTGTCGATGGTGCGTCCGGGCACTCCATCTTTAGCTTTCTCGACGCCTATTCCGGCTACAATCAGATAAAGATGCATCCGGCCGATGAGGAGAAGA